AAATTTAAAAAAAAAACAACAAATTAATCACATGTGATGGATTTATAATAGGGGTGTAAGCGAGTACAAGTAATTTGCAAATTATAGCTAATCTAAACTGATCAATCGAGATTGAATTGGATTTTTTTAATGTTTGAGTTAGATACAACTCAACCCAATCAAAGATCGACACTATTTGGATTGGATAATGGATTTTATGTTTTTTTACCTGTAACCTAACATGGCTCGATCATATATAATAATAATAAGATAGTGTGATCATGACAATATTTCATGCACTCTTACTCAATAACAAATATTGTGTTTCTAAGTTGATAATATTATAACAATACACATATTTATCATAAATTTTACTTTGTATTAATATTGTTTGAGCCGATAACAATGGATCTAATTAAAAAAATTATTTTGTATCATTATTTATTTTATTGATTGATAACATTGAATTTGGAATAAGATATCAAATAATTTATATCTATTATAAAATATTTAAATTTTATAATAAATAAATAAATTTAATTATATTGATCCGATTGACTTAACCTATTCTAACTTATTCGTAATTGGATTAGGTTGAATTTAAAAGAAAAAAAATACAAATCCAACCTAACTAATTGAATTTTGATCTATTTGAATAATAAGTTCATTCAAAATCGGCTCAACCCAACCTATTTACACCCTTAACTTATAGAGACAACAATTTTTTAAGTGTGATTAATATTTTTTCAATTATAATTAGAGTTTTATATTCATAATATATATTTATAATTAATAAAAATTTTAATAATATGCATTTAATTATTAAATATACATATATATTACTCAAATAAAATTTTAATTTTAATTAGAAAACCAGAGTAATTATACTTAAATTACTAGACTTAAATTTTATGCTTTATGGGTGTCGTTAATTTGCAACCACAATAAGTGACATCTCATAATGGGACCCGCTAATCCACGTGCAAAAGTTAGCCTTTGTTTGAATAATTATGGGGATGGAGATTCCAACCATCTTACATGGAATCGAGCAGCAAGAAGGGCGCAAAACTTTGCTCTCAGATCCACCGATTGATAGCGGTCCCTACATCACAAGTCACGAGCATTCAAAACCTAATTTAAGGGCTTCCCCTGCCAGCTAAAATTCTCATGTTCACACATGATCATTTCATTAACTTAATATCATTTTATATATTAATAAATGATTTAAATATTTTTTATCTTTATAATTTTTCTTACTTTGTCTTTTAGTTTTTATAATTTAAAATACATGTTTTTAATTTTTGTACTTATACTTTTTAAATTTTTTAAATCCTAATTATTAACTTTTTTTAACGTTATTTATTTTGTATTGATGTGATGGATATTTTCAATTTTATGAAAATAGAAAAAGTGTCTTAACAATGAACATTATAACTCAAAATATAAAAGAGACATCGAGTATGAGAGGCTTAATTTTAAAGTAACTTCAACAAAATAAAATTAACATCAGACACACAAAGTTAAATTAATACTTCTATCATGTTCACATAAAAGAGACAACAAATAAAAAAATTAATGACATAAAATAAAAGAATTATAAAAAATTACAAATATAAGAACTAAAAAAATCTATTTTCAACTATAAAGACTTAAAAGGATAAATATAGAAACAAAAAAATATATTTTAAACTACAAAAATTAAAAGATAAAGTAAGTAAAATTATAGAAATTAAAAATATATAATTTAACCTTAATAAATTTAAGTTTTAACTTTTTATTGTCAAAACATAAAATCATTATAACCGATCTTATGTGAAACTAAATTTAGATTTCTTAATTAAAATTTTAAATATATATATATATATATATATATATATATATATATATATGTAACATGATGAAGAGGTGACTTATTAATCATGAATAAAACTAATTGATATTTTACGCTTATAAAGTGGTTAGTAAAAAAACTTAAATGTTGTATTTCTTTTAGTAATTTTTATAAAATTCAAATCAAAAGTATTGTTTTATTTTTTGTTTATAAGAACCAATGTAAAATATCTATTGCATTATCATTGTTGTTTACAAAATTAAAGTATCTTTAATTCAAATAATTTCTCTTTATTTAATAAGTAGTTGATGAAGTGAATTATTAATGTTAGGGATTTTGAAAAAAGAAATATAATAAATTAACCAACTTCTTTAACAATAAGTCAATTAGGTGTGAGTATAAGTTACCTTAGATAATGTTCATTCTAGTCCAAATTTGATTCTAATTTCTCTGTACTTCTAAAATGAGGTATAGATGAGTTGTGATCTGGTTGACTGTAATTTGGAGTATTTGGCTAGCAAGAAACGCTCTTATTTTTTCTGACAAGGTGCATGTCTACTTTAGACGTGCTTGAATTGGTAAAACTGCGCACTTGGAAATGATTAAAAGCGAGAGATAATTCTTTTTCATACTCATTTTCTTCTTGGGCTGAGTCCCCTACCGTATGCCTTAATTTTTATTAAGTGATTTTGTTGGTGATTATTGCTATCTGGGTGAGTGATTCCGACTTAGTTGCGGTAATGCTTTTGACAATGCTGATTGGCTTCACTTTGCAGTTAATAGTCTTTTTTTGGATTGCTAGTTTGGTTGTTCCACCTATTAGTGCAAGATCTTTTATTGTATGATGTTTGCAAATTGATTTTAGGAGGTATGTAGTTATTGTGTTGTTTTCATTAAACACCTCCTATTGTCAGAGGTGCACTACTTACTTTGGTTATGTCGTGTATATGGGTTGGAGTACCCCTTGTATTCTTCTTATTTAATTCAATTTTGCTTAGCAAAAAAAAAATCTAACTCAATCAGGTCCAAAAATATTTGGGTCAAAACACTATATTAGTTTGAATATTATGTATAGTTAAATTGTAAATTAAAGGAAGTGCATTGAGTTCAACTTTCAAACCTAATCACATTCGAATCAATCTTATGTTAAGTCATCTTAGTGAGCCGGGTTGAGTCATGCTCATCCTTAAAGTCATTAATCCAAGTGAAATTAGATTCAACTTTAGGTAAAGTTTCATGTTTGTGTTGTGTATGAAAGTGAATCATCTAGGGTCTCATATTTGAGCCTTGTGAATAAAAAAAAATGTGATTGGAAGAAGATACCTCACTGAAAATGGACAGTTAAATTTACAGAAGAAAAGTAGTCACATATAATTAATAATTTTCACTAATAATATAGCTATAAAAAGAGTAATTATTTTTTTAATCTTTAATTTTTAATTTTTGATGAATTAGGTAATAGAATATTTCACATCGAGTATCATTTAAAGTATTACAATATGTTACTATCTAATTAAAATAATTAGAAATTCGTCTAGATAATTAGTCTTAATTTTTAGTTATCAAAATAAAAGTTGTAATAGTTAAAATAAATTTTTTATTTTGATTGAAAAATTACTCTGATTATAAGAAATGTTACATATAGTGACATAAAAAGTGTCACTAAATATATATAATATATGTATGTATAAATCTATTTAACATATAGTTACATACAATTTTAGTGTTGATTCAGAAAGAGATTTAACAACATATTTTATGTGTCAATATAGTTTTCCTCACCTTTTAACAATATACTAACATATATTATATTTATTATATAGGTAAAACTAATTTTTTGTGACAATTTTTGTGTCACTATATACCAATTTATTTTGTAATTATGTCATATTTAAGTTTAGTTTACTTTTAAGAGAGAAAATTTTTACAATCTCATGCATGCATATTTTTTTTTTCTAATAAGAACTATTATAAATAAACTTATTTAATAATCTAAAATAAATTAATAAACAAGCTTATAAATAAAGTTTCTTTAATAATAAATTATTATAAATAAACTTATTTATCCAGATATGAATATTTTTTTTGTTTTGTTAATCAATATCTAGATTCATTTAATTAATATTAAACTTACAAGATATTTACAAATTATCCATAAAATTATTTCTATCACTCAAATCAGGTTTTTTTAATTAAAAGTTTTAATACTAATATGTAATCTGTATTATAGCATACATGATATGATAAATCAATTTTTATATATTAAATATAAGTTTTTGTCTTATATAAAAAAGTTTTAGAAATTTTTCTTCGACAAGAGAAATTTTAAAAAATTTTTAACTTCTTATCCAATTCAATTTTTATTTATCATAATTATTTAAAAATTATTTTTTAATATTTTTAAAATAAATTATCAATAAATAAAATAATATTATACTAAAATCTAAATTATTGATTATAAATTTAAAATATAATTTATAT